TATATATACAGTATACACACACACACACAGTACAAATATATAATATACAAAAATTCTGTGCGTCTCCCGGGGTCTAAGCCCCCCTTGTCCTTGAAGCCTAGCGACACCCCTGCTTTAAAGTATATGTAGTTCAAAAGTGTGTGAAAATCTTTTGGTTGGAAAATCCCTAAAAACCTTTTTAGCTGAAGAGCATACATATAGTGTCAGGAACAGTTCATATAAATGTAAGTTTTTCTACCTGTGCATAAAGGTTTAGGACAAAACTTGACCGAGTTTTAAAAAAGGACTTCATTTATTTTACTTTATTAGGTCAAATTTGCCAAAGGATTGGGTACATTCACCAAATTGTTTATTAACAAAGTAAACTGTAAATTAACCTAATACGATTTGGTTTTCGAAACTGACAACATAAAAATTAACCATTATACAAATTTAACCATAACATAATTATTAATACAGTGATTAAATGTTTTACTACCTACAATTAAAACTCATTTTTTCCAAACAAATTCACTGACAAGTTGGATATTTGCAGCAGCCATCAACTAGCCTACAATGCAAATGATGCCAACGCATAAATAAAACCTGAAATTATTTTTAGTTAAACTTTAAATTCAGCTAGTTATAGCAGTTGGGTGTTGTAAATTTGAACCATAACTATATTAAGAAGAAAACCATGTTTTTATTCACAGCAGAGAAGTTTAGGACATCTAAGAAATGATTTGATTTTTTTTGTAAGTTATAACTGTCATATTTCTATGGAAGCCCATTTCCGCCACCCTGATAAAAATAAAAATAAAACTTGTATCTCATAATTATGATAGCTGAGATAGCTAAGTCATAATTATGAGATACAAGTTTTATTTTTTTTATCAGGGTGGCAGAAATGGGCTGCCATACATTTCTAATTTAACATTAAAATAAAAAACTAATCTAAATGTGGTTTATTCAGTTTGGTTATCCATGAAGCTTTGTTGCCTTTAGGTTGGTACTAAAACAAAATCTACTTTTAATTTTGATAAATTTAAACAAAAATGTTCAAACTTCCACAGCGCCACCTTCTGTCCAGCTTGTTGAATTTCTGTACATTTTCAGGTCTAAATGAATAATGTAGCACGCAAGGCATTTTTTCCACAAAAACTGTTTTTATATAATAGTTTTTTTGTATAAACCTATAAATTTGATCAATAAAGACTACTAAAATCCTGTGTGAAATCACAGACTGCAAAATACTTTGGTTTATCAGAAATATCAACTTTTTTATTTCAATAAAAACTCAACACATATTAGTTTAGCCTTTTTTATTGTTTATAAGCAATTTCTGCACAAATGCACCAAAAAAAAATCAACTGTGTATAACCCCGCTTTCTATAAATTTTGAATAGAATCCTTTTTTTTTAGAATCACTAAAGAGGAACAAAATGAACTCAAAGAGGCAAGTGGTGTGCGTAGCTTATAACAACCTCCTGACGAAAATAAAGAGAAACTAAAATATTTAAATACATGCTTTTAAAGGAAAACGGCGATGTAAACCCAAATTCAGAATAAACTTTCAGTGGTTCATCCCATGTGTGGAAAAAGTGATTAAACATAAAGCTGCTACAGAAATGTGTAAATACAAATGATATAAGTTGCAAAATGAGGCACAAAGATGTGGAGAAAACACTTTTAAAACTAAAGGGAGCTAAAATCTGTAAGAAAAGCTTTTGCCAAATTTTAATGAAAATAAACCTTGTTAGCACTGAGTGGACTTTTCAAATTATTGATTCTGTTTTAACTAAAACCTCTAAATGTTTATAAGAATAACAGAAAACCATCATAAGCAGGAGGTTTCTGTTAAAATAAACAAGAGAAAAACAAAAATAAATGGTAACTGAGGATTTTGATGAAAAAAAAGAAAAATTTTGGAGAACATTAGATGTTAGATTTTAATGCTTTTTATAAAATTTAAATCTATTTTTGCCTTCTTCAGGTAGAAAATATGTTTGTAAAACAAACCAGAACAATAAAAACCAGCCAGCTGGTTTCCAGCACTGTCATGTTACCGTTTTTTTGTTGCATTCAGCAACACAAATTGCTCATTTTTCCTGTTTGGTTAGTGTTTGGATCGTTGTAAACAAGAATCGTTGCTCCACCAGGGGGCAACGAAAGCTTTAACAGATGCAAGCACTCCTGAAATCCCCTCCTCCTGCAGCTGGACTCAATAAAAAAACAAAAACACTGAATTATTTGTACTGCTTCTTTAGCTGATTGCACATGTTGTCGGCTGAAGGGAGAGCAGAAAGAACTGATTAGAAATGCAGCTCAGTTTTTCTGCACGCACTGAGGGTTGTGTTCGTTTCACAGATCAGCCGAGGCAAAAAAAAAAAAAAAAAACACATTTCTCTCCTCACCGTCACAAGCACTCTCACCACAGGGTTCATGGTGCTTTAGGGTCATTCAAGAGAAACTTTACAGGCACTGAGTGGTTCTGGTAAACCTCCCTGATCTACAGGGAACAAAACAAAAAAAAGTTTCTGCTAACGTTTAAATGTCCACACTTCAAACGCTTTAATTGTGCGAAACACGTGTAAACTGCACAGAAAGTTAGTTGATCCTGTTTTAGATCTGGGCTTCGATGGAAAAACAACAAAAATGTTTTAAAAGGTGGAGCTGGTTCCTGTCATGATTATTAAACCCAAACCAGCTGGATTATTAGTCACCATTCAGAAACACAGATGGGGTTTGGGTGATATGTAGCAACACAAAAACAAAATAAACTGTGGCTTTCTTCTTCAAAGCCTCTGCTGACCAAAGAGGGAATAAAAAAAAAAATAACAAAAAGGCACAAAAAATAAACAAAAGTGGATCAAGCTTATGTTAAACAGGTCTGTTAAAAAAACAAATTTAACCCATCATCATCCATTTATCCCCTTACAGATGCCTCCTCCTCATCCAAAGTTTTATTTTATTCCCTTGTTTTTATTTATGATGTTTAATCTGCTAAATCTATGAAGGTAAATTAGTGTCATTATTATTAAAATGAGCAAACCTGGAGAAAATTCTCCTTAATTCTATCAATGTCATATTTATATAAAAAAAACTCTTATTTATATTGGAAAGTCTCTAATTTGCAAGGAAAAAAGTTTTTGCACATAAATAAAATAAATGTTTGTGAAATTTCTCCAAATTTTGCCCATTTAATCAGTATTTTTATTTATCGTCTACGCTTAAACCAGTTTACTTCTGATTCAGATCTTTTATTAAACTGATCTCCCATTTTTCAAATAGATGATTAAGGTTAATGTGAAGGTAGAAAGTGCTTATAGAAAGTCAGTCTTCTGTCAAATCTTAAAGAATAAACTGATACTAAAAAAAGCTAAATTCACATTCAGGCTGAAGCAGACTGGTTTAAGTACCAACATAAAAAGAAAAGGCTCGATTTAGCAGAAAATATTTGTGTTTAAATGAAAACAGGTCACATTATTTTAGCAGGAGAGAAAAATAATAAACATCAGGAAACAAGCAAATCTGATTTAACTGATTTTAGTTGCTTGAAACATATTACAGAAAACATTAAATATCAAAAGAATTTAAAAGTTTAGCTGTTGTCTGCTTGACTCAAAGCATCAAAACAGATTTTTTTTTAATTCGAGGAGTAAATTAGTAACTTTAAACGGCGTTAATTATCTTTAACCTGTGCAGGCGGAGCCTAAAGCCTCAGATTAAAATCATTTCTGGGGACAAACGGATGATTTTGGTGTAAAATGACAGAAGTGTTTCCTGAAATCTAACATCTTTTCTCTGATCAGCTGATCGGAGAGACAAACTGGACATAAAGTGCAAACGGACACGTTTTCTGTTTTTCCTCTCGTGGCGTCAGACCAGCTGAAGCTCCAGTTAAAGCAGTGAGATGGGAAAACGAGGCGGACGCGTGGCCCCGCCCCTTTCCTCTGCTGCACGACTCAGTGGCTCTCGATGACCACCGGCTCGTAGCCGCCGGCGGAGACCCTGAGAGAAAGCAAACAAACGGATCAGAACCAGAAGTTTAAATGTTTTATTTGACTTTATTCTCTCTTAGTTTCATCTGATTAAGAAAAAATGGATGATTTTTTTTAAAAGCTGCAGAGATATGGAGGTAATTTTGTTTTTTTTATTATTCAAAGAAAAAGCAGATTC